TCTTTTTACTTTAATTTTTCTTAGGAGACTATATAGCTTTGTTTTTAGTTAGTTTTATTTTTATATCTTTCTTTTTATTTTTGTAAATTGTATAAGTTCGAATAATTTTAATAAAGATAAAGGCTACTATGCCACGTTTGCCTGGTTTTTGACCAGTGTTATTTATGTTATTGATAATTACCGATTGTTGCCCTTGCTGTTGGCGATGCACTTTATGACGAAAATATATTGTACGATTTTTTTTCCTTGAAGGAGAGGTCATGTTAAAATTTTATTTTTATAAAAACTAAAATTGCATTTCTTACATAGTATATATAAATATATGCAAGTCGAATCAATCATGTTAAAAATTTTTTTTTGTTAGATAATCTTGAATCAGGAAAAAAAACTTAATTATTCTAAATTTGTTAATAAACCATGAATTTTTATATTTAGTATCACATTATTGGGAAAATTTTTTTGCATGATTGATAATCTTGAAATCGGGTCAAATAAAAAAAAACTGGAAGATTACCATATTTCCAGATTTGTTAATAAATCACGAATTTTTTAATACATTTTTTTAAGGGGGATTTTTTAATATATTGTGAAAAATTTTTATATAAGTATACCAACAATTTTTCTTTATTCGATGTAATTATGAATAATGGTCATCCTAACGGCGTTATACAACTGGTAGAAATAGAGAACTGGAAGCACTTCGTGGCCACAGTTTGCGAAAGTTTTCAGTCAGGTACTCAGACCTGATATACGAAGGACGGCCTACTGTGAACGTCCTTCTCTATTCGGCCCTCCTGATAAGGCGTTGTATAACTGATAGTTATTTATAATTACATACAGTACTATTTTTTGAGTTGCGTTGGTACTGACGTCCTCGTCGTGCAACTTGGGTATCAATGTAATCATAGTATCAGGCTTTAACTGAAATTGAACTATTCAAGAAGTAGATAAGATATTTGTGGTAAAATTTTTTAAACTTTCATATTTCATAGTTGTAATTATACAAATATGTAAGACATATATATTACTGTATTTACCTATTATTTTATTTATTAATCAATTAAAATAAAAATAAATATAAATAGTGAATCATAGTGTGTTATAGAGAGATATTATTACCATCATGGTAATATCGTGAGTGATAACATTATTCGTTTAAATTATTAGTGGGAGTGTTTATTAAATTTATATATCTTAGATTATTTATAAGCTAGGGTCAATAATAAAACACAATAAAGTTAACTGTTGAACCTTTGAAAAATAAGTTTAATTACATGTATATAAATTTTTTACATCTAAATTATTTTTTTCAAATAAGCAATTCTCATGATACAAAAAAATGTATGTATACAAATCCACCATTACGTACATTTTGTTTAGCGTCAATATCCTTTTTTTGCTTCCATTCAACTATGAGTTCTCCATAAGAATATTTTGGATTTTTGATTGCCTTTTTTAATCGAAGTTTATTTAATGGGTTCTCTTCTTGGTTTTGATCGTTTAATTGAACAACTGTTTTTTGATTTTGCTGATAATATTTTACCCCCCAATTGGAATCATCAAAAATACTGGATAATTCTTGATAACCTGTAGATCCGCGAAAAACACACTTTAATGCTCCAGTTCTTTTCGTATAATAGTGAATATAGTTTTTAAAAATTTCTTTAAATAAATCCACTGGACAATCCATAGATACAGTTTGTAACCCAGTATTTTTCTTCCCAAGTCGTCTATGAATCAAATAAACAATATTTTCTTTAAATTTATTAATTAAAAAACTTGGAATCTTTTCTTGTCCTGCGGGTATTTTATTGTATTTACGAATTATATTTTTATGTTGAAAGAGACCACGGCTAGACTTGAAAATTTTTTTACAAATAATACATTCAGTATTGTTAATAATTATAAATGGGAGAGGAGGAATTTCATTTTCTTTATTCATTATAAAACCAGAAACTAAAAGTTGAAGAAAAAAGACTGGTTAAAAAAATCTAAAAAAAAAAAAAAGTATATACACTAAATAAATTTTAGATCGTTGATTAATAAATAAGAGACGTCATAGACGTCATGTGTGCCATGTAGTATTGTAATAAAAATAGAAAACCACGATCACATAACCTATTTTGTATAATAAAATGTTTATTGTAAAATTCACCACTTTTTTTATATCGAAAATTCGGAATTATGGAAAGGTATTTTTTATTAAAACTTGATTTTCTAGCAATATTTTAATAGCAATTGAAGGAGGCTTTTTTATAGTCTTTTTCTTATTTTTTATAGCAGTTTATTGAAAATTTTTAATGGTAATTTAAAAGGAACAGTTTAGTAATTCTATTTCTCTGAAATCTGAATTATTTATTTTTATTATAAATATTTTCAATTCAGTATAACGTAACGATATTTGTTACATATTAAAATAAATAAAAAAAAAAAATAAATAAATCGTACGGTAGATCTTATTGTATATAAATTGGCAGGATAGTATCTGCAATATTTCCATAATAATCCTTGTGTATTACTTGAACTGTTGCCTAGTTAGGCAATTTGCTGCCAGTTAACTAGCCACTATTACATCTGGGAAAAAAAAAAATTATTTTCGACATTACCACCCAATTTTTTATTTCACACAATTTTTTTTTTTATAAAAATATTTTTTTTCCTAATCTTTCAAAATGACTGGAATTTGAACAAACGAACTATAGTTAGTTCATTTCATTCATTTTTTTACTTTACTTTCATTATAAAGGAATACATTAATATTTCCTTTTCTTTTTTTTAAAGAACGAATAGACGAAGTCCAAAACCGGTCCTATAATTGCGGTACAGTTTAGTCAGTTCAGACATTCAGGACTTTTAATATCCCTACTTTCTATTTTATAGGTGTATAAAGGTTACTTTAAGTTAAATGGTAAATTGGGAAGGGGACAAACATTTCATTTTTTTAAGAAAACAGAATTTAAAGAAGCACATGATATTCCGATGAAGTCTAATAGGCGGTGAATAGCATCAGTCCGAGGAGAAGGGGTCAATAGGACCTGCTACGGAGAAGTATCATACTTCTAATTGTATAGAAGGTGTGGACCTCTCGCTTGGTAGGTTCAATCAAAGTATGCATATTATGGTTAGCATCACCAGTGTAAATGACTACCTCGAAGTCCTGCCGCTAGTTATTACTTTTATTATGTATAGTAAAAATAATATATATAGTCATTTAAGTGATGAATAGCATCATATTTTTTGTATATTAAATTTAATAAATTATATCTCTTAAATGGATTATTTTGCATAAAGACAATATATATATATCCATTGCATTGGTTATTAGATGTCTATCTTTTTAAAAAGTGAATACTAGTTTAAATGTAACCTTACCGAACTTTATATAAATAAAATAAAATAAATAAAAATTAAATGTTAATTTATTGCCTTTTCAGAAAGGTTGAAATCGAATGCTAATATTTGATCAATAAAATATCCTATTTATAATTTATTTATATATTCACACTTATTTTTATTTTTCAATATTATGTATAATATGTATAAATAAACCAATTGGAAATACATTATTAGTTTGATAAATTTCGTAAATAATATAAAATAAGTAATATTTTTACATTATGTAAAAATCTAGCAATCTTTCTCTTCTAGTTCTAATTTTTTCTCTCTCATTTGTTTTCTTTCTCATCATTTACAATTGATGATGTTGAAGTTTGAGTGATTTTTTTTGATTTATTTTTTTTTTCAGTGCAGACAATTTGACCTTATTAGAACAATTTCTTTTTACTATAAAAATAAAATAAAGTNTAGAAGGTGTGGACCTCTCGCTTGGTAGGTTCAAAAAAAAAAAAAAAAAAAATATAGTAAATAAAAAATTTCACCAGCTTTTAAAATAATACTAACTGGATCTGCTTTTCTTACGTTACAACTCCAAGATCTTTCCCGTTTTTTCTAATACCATATTGATCTTGTGTAATGTAAATTTAAATTTAATACTATATTTCATCACTGTAGTTTGTAGTATTGCCAGTAAACTATATATACAGTATAATCTATCTCACCAAATGATGCTGTTTTATAATATTTAGTTAAGGACTATGTGACTGTCCGCTCACTCATGCTTTTGAGTTGATGCTTGATTGGTTCTTCACTATACATATACACATGCATATGCACTATGAAATTTTTTAATCCAGTATAACCACGTGTTTATCTGTTTACTTTTTACTTTAAACTTCGATTAAATAAATATTTTTTTTTTATTTTATCAGTTATTTTTTAACATTTGTAACGATAAAATTATAAAATATTTTCTTTATTACATTTTTATAACCAATTACAAAATAAATAAAATATTTTTTTAATTTTATGAACAAACTAAATTATCGATTTATATATTTATCGAAAATTTGTTTAAAAATCTGATTTTTTATTATATATGATTAGTAAAATTTGCTTTTTAAACAAATATTTTAATTGTAATAGATTTAATCGAAAAATTTCAATTTATAATACTGATTGATTTTTATTTGATTTAAACTTCATAGAGATAAAAAAAGTTGTCACACTTTTCTCAAGCACATAAGAATTTGAAACAAAAAATAATAAAATACGAAACCTAATATCATTTATTCAATATACTGTAAACAAATAAATATTCTATTTTTGGTAATATTGATACAAAATTACATAATTATTTATACAGTTATATTATAAAATTATATTATTATAATATAAAAAGTTATGTAATTCAGTCCGAATTTGGCAGTTTTTTTGTTATCATCATCAATCATCAATATTTTTTTTTCCATCAGTTTTTGTCAGTTTTCATCAATACTCCGTCTTTTATCTTCTTCAAGTCTTTGTCAATACTCTTTTATTTTCATCAAGTCTTCTTTTGTCTTTGTCAAATCTGTTAATATCAATACTTTTTATCTTCATCAATACTTTTTTTAAAAGTCTTAAAATTCACCTATGAGTAGTATTTAATACTATTAAATATAATGCCAAAAGTAAAAAGTAAAAAAATTGAAAATGGTCCTAAGGAAATTACCGACTATCCTAAAACAGATTCTATATTATACACAGATGGAAAAAGGAGTTATAATTACAGAATTAAGCAAGAGGGTTTATATCCTCAACTTCCAATATTGATATATACTCAAGGAAAGAATAAATATAAAATTCCAGATGGATATTGTGTGGAAACTACTTGGGGTCGTGGAGAAAAAAAGAAAACTGTAAAGTGTTTTATTAATTATATAGAAGGAAAGCCTCTTTTTAAAATTATGTATGGTATAAATTTTTCAGAAGAAATTCGATCAAATATATCTTCAACAACAGCAGCAAATGCCGTTCTGAAGGTTAGATTTATTGAGTTTTTTTTTGTGTTAAAATTGAATTAAACATATTTAATATTAATTATATTATTTTTTTTTAGAAACTTTTCCCCTTAAATGAAAAATCATTAATTTCTGGAGTACATCTTTTTGGTATTCATCTAATAACATTAAAGCAAGCTAGAGAAAACATAAGAAATATAAAGGAAAATAATGTTCAATTAATATCACTTGAACATTGTAGTAAATCAACATTAAATAAAAGGCAGCATAAATTTGGAAATCAATTGAAACAACATGTTCAAATTGAAGAATCTAAAATCTATGGTAAAGATAGAGTTGTTCTTAAGCAAATTTCTTATAGTGTTAAAGATATGGATTTCCAAATTGATTATGAAAAAAGAAATGATATAAAAAAGAAAAAGCTTATTTCAGCAGTACAAGCTATTGATTTAAATTATATTCCTCGTGAAGGTTATCGAGCTTTAACTGCAGTAGAATCTAATTTACAACGTGAATGGGCTGTCTCTGAACAACGACTTAAAATAACAACAGAAATGAGTCAAAAAATACCAGTCACTTTTATTAATCTTCCATTAGATTTTACTGAATATTCAAACTCTGAATCAATTGAAATAATTCAAAATATCAAAAAAGATGGCACTCGGAGTGTTAAAGACATTTTAAAGTATATTGTACCTGTCCTTATTTCTAATGAAATATTGGATATTAATAATCCAATTATCCACTTAAGAGTTTCTGGTGATGGCAGAAATGTGGGTAGAAAAATTAAACATGTAATGATAACCATAGCGATTTTGAATGACATTCAAAATATTCATAAACCTGACCACCACTATACAACTGTTCTCTTTCCAGGTGTAGAGAAGTATGAGGTTTTAGAAATTATGATGGCATCTTTTATTAAAGAACTAGATGAAATAAAAAAAAATGGGCTAATGATTGGCGAAATTATGTGGAATTTTGAACTTTATTTCTCTTCTGACTGGAAATTTTTAACAATATGTTTAGGATTCAATTCAGCAAATTCAAAATTTTTTTGTCCATGGTGCCAAGTATCAAAGTATGACCAAGGTAATAATTGGAAAATAAGTAAGAAAATGGAGAACATCCATGAATATCCAGGTCATAATAGGAAGCCACTTTTTTATATGATTCCACTGGATAAGTGGGTACCAGATGAACTTCATATTTTACTTCGTATTTGGGATCGTCTCTGGTATTTGGTTTTATCAGAATTAAAAGAATTTAACCAATTCGATGATATATGTCGTGATGAAATTGTTAAAGAAATGGATAGGATTGGTGTTAATTTCCAATTTTGGCAAGAAAAATCCAATACGTGGAACCACACATCATTGATGGGTGATGACAAAAAGAAAGTTTTAAAAAATTTTAACTTTAAACGTATATTACCACCTTCACGTGCAAAAGCAATTCGAGAATTGTGGGATCGCTTTCATCAAGTTTATCTTAATCTTAAATTGAAGGATTATGACGCACAACAGTTTCGTTTCGAAGCTGAGGATTGGTTGGAATTATTTAAAGTATTATACATGCCAAGTGATATAACTCCATATATGCATGTTCTTGTCTGCCATATGTCCGAGTTTATGGAAAAACATAAACAATTTGGTATAAAAGCATTTTCGTGCGCGGCTGTTGAAAAAAAGAACCATCAGCAAGTAACACATTTTTTTAGACAGACAACAAAAGATGGAGGGAAAAACAAAAAATCAGCAATAACTGATATTCTTGAATATGAAAATAGGGTTCTCTTTTATTTATTTGATAATGTTGAAACTTCAACACCAAAACCAAAAAAAATAAGTTTAATGTAGTGTTTTTTAGTTTATTATTTAGAGCGGTAGAATTAATTTGTATTACATATAACTAAATATTAATTAAATAAAATTATATATTAGTAACAATTTGACAAGTGGCTTGGATTCTGGGTCGGGTATTTAAGTAAAAAATATTTTAATAATTCTCTTTTCTTGTTTCTTATATTTATAAGGATGACGAAACCACACTTTCAGTTAGAGTAATTGGGTAAGTACAAATGGGTGTGTATTTTCTTAATTAAGAAGCGTTCTAATGTTTTTTCTCTCCTTTTTCTTGTAGAACCGCATTTAACATTTTAACGGGTCGATAACTTTGCACAATTTTACAATTTTTAGCTTTCCTATAAGGCAGTATAGACGTAAGTAATTTCTATTTTTTGTTGTGATTGCAATAACATTATTAATAATTTTTTTTTGGCTTTGTTGTTGGAATCGACTAGACTATATATCATTATATGTCCAAATTATAAACAACGAGTAAGTCTTGGTAAAGAATAAAGAAAAGTATTTTTTATTCTTTCATTTTTTTAACTAATTACTACGTTCTTTTTTTAGTTTCAACAAAAAAAAATAATGTTTATAATGGAATAGGAGGAAAGACTTGGGAATCATAATATAGACGATTTATTAAAATTATGACCGAGCAGATTGATGATCGATTATCCTCATCGGTAAGGAAAAGTTTTGAATTATTCTTCAACGAAGCGTTTACTAACTTTTGTTCTTTCTTTTCTTAGATGGTTTGCTCTTCAGGTATTTGGACGTGTGGGAATCTGGTGGTACGAATATCCATATTTATAGGCTTATTAAATCTTATATATATTTTTTCTTTACATCATGAAACGTTTATCTAATAACGTTTCAATTTTTTCTTTTTTTTCTAGATTTCGGGCTTAAGACACTAGTACGTCGAAGTGTTAAGTTTTTCAATAATTGAGAGTTCTATTTTATTTTATTGTTAAATAGAAATGTCATTAACGTTTCCTTTTTTTTCCTTTTGTAGGTTTCGGACTTTTAGGTTAATGGAAAAGTGAAAGTGGTAAGCTTTGCAACCCCATTACGAAACTATTTTTTTTTTTCGATATTTTTAATTAAAACATATTACGTTTCTTATTACTTTGTTTTTGTAAATTCAGGTTCAGAGCATCGGTCATTCGGCTTTTGTACGCCTGGAAATTCAATGAGAGGTCTTTTAACTGTTTATAACGAAACATCTTACCAACGTTCTGACTTTTCTCTTTTTAAGACGACTGATCGGACCTTTAGATACGTGAGATTTGCTACATAGGTTTCAAGTTCGGGTTGGGGACTAGAAACGCTAGAAATTTAAGTTTCGCGGCATCCTATTGCGAACAGTTTTTATTTATTTTATTAGAAACGTTTGCTAACGTTTCATTTGTTTATTTTATTTTATTTTTTTTTGTAGGTCCTCTGGAGTATCGATCAGAAACGTTGGATTTGGAAATGGTAAATTTGCATCAGGCATTTGCGAGTGCACCTTCGGTTAGGGTTACAGGTGTTCAAGCTCGACGTAATAGTGAAACTTTAAACCCCACAAATATTTCAATTCAACTTTTAGATGAAGAAGACGGTACTTTTGTTCTTAAAATAACCAAAGGCGGTAAATTGGGAAAAGTGAATATGGTTGAAGTAAAAAGTAGAGTGGGTTTGTAAGAAGTTGGAGACAACACGGCGTGATATTAAGCGGAAGCCAACTAATGTTCTTTAAAGATGAAGTTTGGTTTAATACTCAGATGGCCGAGATGTTATTCTCATGACGGCAGAATCAGTTACTGTATATGATAAGACTTATGCAAAGTACCCGCATGTCTTCTGACTTGTGTGTCTTAAAGGTCATTAGTATCTTTTCCAAGCTGAAAGTGAAGACGAAATGAATGATTGGATTACAAAAATCAATTATGCTGCCTATTAACTAAAATACATGATTACAATGTTGAAATATTATTCTGAAAATATTGTATAATTTCATCCGTTAATTTGGGCAAAGAGAAGAGAGGGAATATCTAGATATGAAGAACAAATATCTAATCATAGATCATAAGAAGATCAAAGAAAAGATAGGCGGTAAAAGAGAAAGTAAAGATATAGTTTCTTGGATAATTAGAGAATTAGAAAAAGAAAATAATGAAATAAGAATTAATATAATTTTAACTTCGAAGGATACGTTTAACATTATTCTACATGGATTAATAATAGCACTTTTATTAATAGATAAAAATAATCATTTATATATTAAAACTTCAGAAAAGATTGAAGCTATGATTTCAAAATTAGGAAGTAAAAGAAAAAAGACTAGACGACCGATATTACACAGAATTGACGTGGATTGAAAATTGGTTAAAGAAAATGAACATAATTTTGGGAACGTTTAATAACGAGGAATATTTTAAGGCTAATAAAATTTGAATTATGTTAACGAAATATATAGAGTCAAAGACAAAGTGCGATTTTAACGTGCAGTGTATCGATTTTTTTGATTATCATCGGTTGATCATATCCCACTGATCAATCTTTTTCATTTCATTTTTTTTTTTTTTAGATTTTCTGGACTTCCTTGAAACAAATAATTGGTACGTTTTTTATAATGTTATTAGTAATTTTGATCAGTTTAAACATTATTTATTTATTTATTTTTTTAGGAATTACTTTAAGGATGACTTAGGAAATGGAATGCTGAATTGTAAATATTAATTTTGAAGTTGAACTCATTTAAAGAACATTATTAATATTTTCTTTTCTTTTTTAATAGGAATCGGTATTTTAAATTTTAAAGAATATGAAATGAAGGTTTGTTGGTTTAATATCTGATTTCAATTTTTTTTTATTAAATGTGACTTGTTATTACATTTTGTTTCACTTTACTCATTATTACTTTTATTTAGAATTTAGCTGGTGAACTTTTTGAGAATCAGGAAATGAAAGTTAGTTAATTTTTTTTTGTTTCACCCATTCCTTTGTTTCATTTACTAATTCAGTCTTAATTTCTTTTTTTTAGGAATGACTAGTTCTACCTTAAAACTGATTGATGTTAATGGTAGAAATTTTAATAAAATTAAGTTAGTGAATATTTAGTATATGGTGTAATAGCGTTATAAATGATATTGATTCTCACTTTTTTTTTATTTTTTAGATTTTGAACAGGCTTTCCTAGGAGATTAAAACGAAATTTATAGTAAGTTACCTAATTGTGCTGGTATAATGGTGTTAAAGACATTTATTAATGTCTTTTTTTACTTTTAGGTTTCTAAAATTAAAACGATTTAAGGATTCCTGCAATTTATAGTTGTGAAGAATTTAAGAATTTAAAAGTTTAATAAAAACTATGAAGTCAAACCAGTTGGAATTACATTCACACCATGAACAACAAGTGAGAAGACTAAAGCAAACATGCATTCTTTTTTGGATCGAGTTCTTTTGTTAGATTTTTTAGTTTGATTTTTGGTTGGTTTCTTGTAGTTATAGCAATATATAAATAAATGTAAATTAAATAAAAAAAATAATAAATGAAATAAAAAACAAAATATTATTTAGTGCGCTATAAAACATAAACTCTGTAATATTCCGTACAATGTATATAATTGCCGATGCAATAATTTCACTTTCTAATGTTCTAATAATATAAATTTTGGGCAGCATTAACATAATTTCAGCCAAACTTTAACTTTATAGTAACATATATTAATTTTTATTTCAAGTTAAAAACTATAAAAATTTTGCATATTATGTAATGCTTTGGTAATACTTTAAATATTAAAAAATAATTAAAATTTAAATATTTTGGGTGAGTAGTCAAATCAGCCCATATGATATCCCCAGATCCAGTGATCCAATTGGCAAGCTCTTTTTTCGTTCATATAGACCAGATCAAAGGCTTTCCAAAGAGCCTAAATTTATAAAAAATGGATCAGTGGATCCCAAGATATTTGCATTTAAGCATGTTAAAAAGTTCGTATCTCAACTTTAAACGTAAATATAGTTAGATCTAATGATTCAATTGGTGAGCTCTTTTTTCACCTATAAAATTAAGCCTAAAATTATAGAAAACAGATCAGTGAATCTTGATATATTTGCGTTTAAAGATGGTAATACAAACTCTGAAATAAAATAATTATTTTTATTGTTTGAAAATATTTATTATGATACCATCTTTTATATGATATTTTTATTATACTTTTATAAACATTTATAGCTACTAAGGCTATATAAATTTTTATTTTACTTTATATTTTATTAAAATATACTTACTTTTTAATAATATATGTTAAAAATTCCATATATATGAGAAATGGGTTTTTATTAGTGAAATGGATTTTTTCACAGCTTTTTTACATTTAATAATTTAAGTTTCGCAAATGTAAATTTTTGTTCAACTTATTATTTAGTCGAGTGATTATCAATCAGATGATTTTTTGGTATTACAAAACAATTTTGAGTAACAAAAATTGTGAAAATCAATCAATAACTCTTTTTAATACAAAGTAGATAAATCAGCCCATATGAGAGGGTTGATCACCCTATCTCAGTAGTTGGTTACTGAGACCCTCATTAAACCTGAGTATGGTGAGGTCGCAGGTTCGATTCCAATGATCACAGAAATAAAAAGAATTTTACTGCGGACGCTACCACCAATAGCGTGAAAATACAGGGATTAGGTAGTTGGACTGCATCATGGTGAATTAGTGTGTACGGTTAGGCTGCACATTTCAACAAAGGGTTATAGTGTCCTTCTAACGTTCTCTATGAGGTCATTGAGATGTTTAGAGTCCTGTTCGTGAGGTCACTGCTTGCATACCTTAGGGGTAATTTCCTGTCCAGGTGGTCACTCAAAATGATACTGCTTGGGGTCCAATGTGGCTAGATGGTTATTATAGATGGTAAAATCCTGGGTGCAAAGACTTTGTGATAGTTTACTTTCTAATAGGTTTAGGCCAACTAGGATATTCCTGAACAGACAGGTGTACTAGATGAGGTATGGAGTTCAACTCCCCACTAGACGGGTATCGGATGGCAGCTTGGATGGTAGGACACCACTGGGAATAATCCTAAACAAGCGAGTCTGTACTATCTCATGTTTTCTCTGTTTCAGTGGTCACTACTATACCATTGGGGGATTCACAACTGTACCTTGGGGCTAAGGAATCGTGGGGCTGTAGTGGCCTTGAAGGGTCCAGTATATTACGTCATCATTTGTATGTGACCATATGATGATCATTTTATATGATCACGTGACCACGAAATTGACGAGAAAACTCTTGGAAAAATAAAATATTTCCAAACCTACCATATGAATTTTATTAAATATACGTTCAAATAATAAATATAATGCATCCTATCTACATTTTAACCATTTATTAATATTTCTATATATTTTTATGGGCAAAACTTAATGAAAATACCATTTGCTTGATTGATATTGTACATTAAAGATAATAACTCCACAAACGCCAAATATATAATTCAAGGTTATTAAATTAATTTATTTGCCTTTCCATTTCATTATAAAATTATAATAATCTAATTATTTACTTCACAACACATGAAATATTTTGTATTTAGTTTAAAGGAACAAATACGCTTAAGATAATAAAAAAATAAAATGGTATTAGTAAAAATTTTTATTTGAATATGATGCTTGCTAATTTTTTGATATAAATTATTTAACTAATTACTATATTATTAAGTCTCAAAGTTTCGCAAGTTTTAAGTTAATTTAAAGTTAGTCTAATTAGAGAATTC